TTTAAGAAGATGTTGGATAGCCATTTGTCTGAAACGGTATAGGGTTTCCTGCCTAGGCAGGGGGTTGGACTAGAAGACCTTTAAGGTCCCTTCCAACTCTGCTATTATATTGTATTGTATTGAGAATGAGAGGAACATTTCCTCATTCTGCATGAACAACCATTTTTATTAGTAGAGCTGGTTGATTCATTCCTCTAGATTAAACAGATCTTCCTAATGTAAGGACAAAAGGTTCGTTGTAACCATGGAGACAAATATCCTTCGGTCAAGGCTTGATATCAGCACTATAGTGTTTTTTTATTTTTTAATCCTGCCTTTATTATTTTGAAAAATAACTCAAATAAACAAACGTATTTAATATTCCTCCCTCCTCCTCTTTTCCTCACAACAACAACAACAACAACAACAACAACCCTGTGAAGTTTTGAGGGAATGAATGGCCTAAATCTTTATTAAGGGGAAGCTTCAAAGATTTCCTGTTCATTGGCACTTAGGGTGGGTTACAAATATCTGAAAGGACAAAGAAACATTTGTTCTTCTAGGAATCATAAGAGCATAACTTAAAAGGGTCTGGAAACATGTTCATGCATGGAGAAAAGATTCTGGAAAACCATCGGGGAGAAGAACATTTTGACAGGTTACATTTCTATTTGTATATTTACAGATCATCATTAAATTGTGCCAGCTCTTACTTGTATTTTAAACGCTACAACCTCATTCTGTGGCTGGATTTGCCCACATCACTAGATTAAGTTAAAACAGTTGAGTACGTTGCTGTTCAACATGTGGTAACTAGGCCATTGTCTTAAACAACAATAAGCTTTATTTCTTTTGGCAGAGCTTGTGAAGTGAAACTAGCAGTTGTATTTTTTCCCCTTCTGTTCAATCATGTTCAATTCTCAGAGACTGCCTGGGCGGGTCCCTGAAGTTTTCCTGGCAAAGTCTTGCATAAGTGGTTTGCCATTGTCTCCTTCCTGGGGCTGAGAGAAAATGATTGACTCAAAGTCACCCAAAGTCACAGACTCTGTTTCTAGCCTGTTCTCTTAACCACTAAACCAGTGGTTCCCAAACGTGGCAACTTTAAGACTTGTGGACTTCAATTCCCAGAATTCTCCAGCCAGCTCTGCTAAACCAAACTGTCTCTCTCTATTTTGTTAATTCAGGTTTAATGGTTGTGTGAACCTAGCTAGTTCTGACAACGAGATTTTTACCTACAGTATATGTTTTTCTATTATCAGAAGAATGAAACTCAGTTTTACAAAAATTAGTTCAGGATTGCATGAACCCCAATGACTAAGAGAGGAATTAGGGATAGAATGAAGATCTCGTGAAGTGTTAATACCATTTTATAATACCATGGTAAGGCCACACTTGGAATACTGCATTCACTTTTGGTTGCCACAATGTAAAAAAGATGTGGAGACTCTAGAAAGAGTGCAGAGAAGAGCAATAAAGATGATTAGGGGACTGGAGGCTAAAACATATGAAGAACAGTTGCAGGAACTGGGTATGTCTAGTTTAATGAAAAGGAAGACTAGGGGGTGACATGATAGCAGTGTTCCAATATCTCAGGGGTTGCCACAAAGAAGAGGGAGTCAAACTATTCTCCAAAGCACCTGAGGGCAGGACAGGAAGCAATGGGTGGAAACTAATNACCCTCAGGTGCCTTGGAGAATAATTTTGACTGCCTTTTCTTTGTGGCAACCCCTGAGATATTGGAACACTGCTATCATGTCTCCCCTAGTCCTTCTTTTCATTAAACTAGACAGACCCAGTTCCTACAACCATTCTTCATATGTTTTAGCTTCCAGTCCTCTAATCATCTTTGTTGCTCTTCTCTGCACTCTTTCTAGAGTCTCCACATATTTTTTACATTGTGGCAACCAAAACTGAATGCAGTATTCCAAGTGTGGCATTACCAAGGCATTATAAAGTGATATTAACACTTCACATGATCTTGATTCTATCCCTCTTTTAACTATGGCAGCAGTGGTGATAAATAACCCATCTCATTTTCTGCCAAAAGAGGTACAAGTTGCAGGCCCAGGTCTTTGCATCTCCTCCTGATTTGATGATCCTCTGCTGTCCTGTCACACTCTTCCTGATTTTGTGTTCCAGATGGAAATGCGCCTCCAGGACCAGCAGCTGGCTCGGCAGCTCATGCGCCTGCGCAGTGACATCCATAAACTCAAGATTGAGCAGACCTGCCACCTCCACCGGCGGATGCTGAATGATGCCACCTATGAGCTGGAAGAGAGGGACGAGCTCTCTGACCTCCTCTGCGATTGTCCCCTCACATCCTCCTTCAGCCTCTCCACCCCACTCAAGCTCATTGGCGTGACAAAAATGAACATCAATTCCCGCCGCTTCTCGCTTTGTTAAAGTGGGAGGAATGGGCACCAGAAGTGCATGGGATGGGAGATACCTTCAAGACCTAGGAGAAGAAGCTCCCATTGTCTGGTTGGGAGATAGGCACAACAAGGGAGAAGAGAGAGTAAGGGGGCTCTTCCACTGATCTAATAGGAGTGGGCTGTGGTGCCAGTCAAGATAGTATCCAGAAGGATTTGCGGACAAGTGGAGAATAAGAACAATGAGGCTCCCAAAGGACAGGAACACATCAAAATCTAAGTCATACAGGCAGAAGCATATCTTCTTTCAGTGATTAAACTTATCCTAAACCATGTGATGACCTGGAGGCTCCCTAACTGAGAACAATAAAGGAGAAACATAGCTGAAAACCATTAGTGAAGTCTTTTGGCCCCATTCAAATGAGAGAGATGAAGAATTCATGTTGCTGCAAGGAAGAAAGAGAGAAGGGGAGCTAGGCAGAAAGTATTATGTACTATCTAAAAAAAGATTTCAGTTTAGTTTTTGTCAGTGGGATGCAGGTAATGTGTAGATACAATTGTTTATAGAGATTCTCCAGAGCCATCCAGGTCATCATTGTCCCCAAGATGCTGTTCAAAAGGCAAGTAGACTTTCTTGGCTTTTTCCCCTTGAAAATGTTTTGCTTCTCATCCAAGAAGCTTCTTCAGAACTTCAGACCTGAAGAAGCTTCTTGGATGAGAAGTGATACAATTTCAAGGAAAATGTATACATTTTCAAGGAATGTATATACATTTTCAAGGAAAAAGAAAACAAGACAATCCAGTTGCCTTTTGTAGATACAGTTGCTAGTTTGCTTCTATGACCAACTAAGGTCTTCTTGTTGTGAGATGTGGTTTCTAGAATCTCAGTGGTCTCCAACCTTGGCAACTATATGACTTGCGGACTTCAACTCCCAGAATTCTTCAGCCAGCACATACTGGCTGAGGAATTCTGGGAATTGAAGTCTATAAGTCATAAATTTGCCAAGGTTGGAGACCCCTGTTCTAGATTGTGCTTACTTGGGACAATTCTGTATTGCAGTTTAGGTGCCTGGTGTCCCATGATGCTGTTTCTCAGACCTTCAGATTTCAGGAAGTTAGTAATGGGGTTTTGCTGGTGCTCGGTCCAGACTGGCCATTGCAAGATCTGATCAACTGTCCTCTGTTTTTGCTTTTCTCAAGTCTTATGGTCTAATCAGCTAGGTGAAAATTAGGCCTTAGTAGATATCACCCTCCTAGAATTTGATGAAGCCAAGCTGCCGACTTTCGAGCATGTCAGTTAAAGCCAGTGGTGGGATTCAAATAATTTAACAACCATTTCTCTTCCCTAATGACCAGCTGGGTAGGTGTGGCTCGGTGGTCATGTGATTGGGTGGGCATGGCCAACTCCATGTCACTCACGTGGATGGACACTTCACCTTAGCTGTTACAATGTAATAAGGGTTAACNTCCATGGGGTCGCGATAGGTCAGACACGACTTCGCAACTAACAACAAGTAATCCTGAACTGAGAACACTTCCTTTGGTGACCGTTCAAAGTTACAACAGCACTGGGGAAAGTGACTTAGATCATGTTTCACACTTACGACTGTTGCAGCATCCCTATGGTCACATGATCAAAATTCAGATGCTTGGCAACTGACTCATATTTATGATGGTTGCAATGTACTTCAGATCAACTTTTGCAACCTTCTGACATGCAAAGTCAATGAGGAAGCCAGATTCACTTAACAACCGAGTTACTAATTTAACAGCAGCAGTGGTTCACTTAATGGTGACAAGAAAGGTCGTAAAATGGGGAGAATGCATGTCTCTCTTAGTAACAGAAATTTTGGGCTCAATTGTGGTCATAAGCCGAGAGCTACTGGTACCCATAAGATCTAGAAAAAATGTAAACGCATTCCGTATGGCAATGCTTAGGCTTAGAGCAGTGGTTCCCAAGCTTGGCAACTTTAAGACTGGTGGACTTCAACTCCCAGAATTCTCCAGGAGCTCTGCTGGCTGGAGAATTCTGGGAGTTGAAGTCCACCAGTCTTAAAGTTGCCAAGTTTGGGAACCACTGGCTTAGAGCATGGTTATACTTCAGAAATTCTAACCAACTCCCTTAAGGGGGAAGATTTCTCTAGGGTGGGGAAAGAAATTATTGCCACGGAGCTTGGGACTATGCCAGCCACTATTTTTTGTCCTTTTTTAGCCAGAGAACATTGTAAGAAATGCCAGACTGAGATCTGCCAGCAAGAAATTCCATTATGAACTTCTCATCAACAACTGAGGCAACCGCACCTTGTAAATGTCTGCCCTTTATAAGTGTATTTCTCTGAATGTTTCCTGATGAGTAGATACTTTTCCTTTTTAACTTTGCGTAGATAGCTCATTATGTAAGAAGAGATCCTTCAAGTCATTAAGGAATGCTTCTTGCTTAAGTACATACCCAAGTAGCTCGCTAGGGTAATTTTATGAACAAAATCAACAGATGCTCTGGAAAATGTTACATGGAACAAAGCCATTAAAATCTCAGGTGATCTCAGGCTTCTATAGAGAGACAGTTAAGAATTGTATCCGCATAATTTACATATGATATTACCCTTCATTCTGCTTTGTACAAGAGGGTGGAAGGTAGATTGCCTTTTCTATATCCTGTTTAGCCGCGTGTTTATTTATTTACATCATTTATGTACCCTGAATCAATCAACCTTGGGAATCGTGTAGAACATTAAATCTAAAAAACAGAAGGCACAAGAATAAATTGACCCAGGCTTTAATTACCTGTCATTAAAAGATCATTACAAATATTCCACATCACAGAAACCTGAAGTCCAAAATACATGATAAAAAAGTACCAAAACCTTTACCCTTTTCAAAAATAACAAAGGGTGCTTTTTTAATTGTGCACATTTCAGGATCTCCTATGTTTTGCATGCACTGTGATGGTACAAGTCTACATTTCATTTTCAGAAATGCTAACCTTAATTGTGACTGCTTTTTGAAATCAGGGGCAACCTGACTCTGAATAGCTCTGAACATGAACATGGCTTTTGTGCTTGGCTTGAGATCCTTAGTACTCATCTTTCTGGAAAATCAAATAAGAAAGCTTTTGAGGCCAAAATATGAGTCAGCAGTGTGCGGCGGCAGCCAAAGAAGCCAATTAATAGAGGGATACAATCAAGATCAAAAGAGATAATAATACCACTCTATAAAGCTTTAGTAAGACCACACCTAGAATACTGTACCCAGTTTCGGACACCATACTATAAAAAAGATGTTGAGACTCTAGAAAAAGTGTAGAGAAGAGCAACCAAGGTGATTAGGGTACTGGAGGCTAAAACATATGATGAACGGTTGCAGGAACTGGGCATAGCTAGTCTAGTGCTGTTATTAAACAGGGCAGTCATTAAGCGAGGACAACCTGTTGTGCATGGAGAAAGTT